GCATCAGTTCTTCAGCACTCAGCTTTCTTTATGGTCCAACTCATATTCATACAGAACTACTGGAAAAACCACAGCTTTGACTAGATGGACTTTTGTTGGCAAAGTAATGTCTCTGCTTTTTAATATGCTGTCCAGGTTGGTCATAGCTTTTCTTCCCAAAAAGCAAGCATCTTTTAATTTCATGTCTGCAATCACCATCTACAGTGATTTTTGGAGCCCAAGAAAATAGAGTCTCTCACTGTTTCCCTTGTTTCCCCATCTATTTGCCATGAAGTGATGGGACCAGATGCCATGATCTTTGTTTTTTTCTATGTTGAGTTTTAAGCCAGCTTTTTCCCTCTCCTCTCTCAACTTCATCAAGAGGCTCTTTAGTTCATCTTCGCTTTCTGTCATGAGAGTGGTGTCATCTGTATATCTAAGGTTATTGATATTTTACCTGGCAATCTTGATTCCAGCTTGTGCTTCATCCAGCCCAGCATTTCGCATGATGTACTCTGCATATAAATTAAATAAGCACGGTCACGATATACAGCCTTGGCGTACTTTCTCATTTAGAATGAGTCCATTGTTCCATATCGGTTCTAACAGTTACTTCTTGACCCGCATACACATTTCTCAAAAGGCAGGTAAGGTGGTCTGGTATTTCCATCTCTTTAAGAATTTCCTACAGTTTGTTGTGATCCACATAGTCAAACGCTTTAGCGTAGTCAACAAAGCAGAGAAGTAGATTTTTTCTGGAATTCTCTTGCTTTTTCTATGATCCAGCAGATGTGGACAATTTGGTCTCTGGTTCCTCTGGCTTTTCTAAATCCAGCTTGAAGATCTGGAAGTTCTTGTTTCACGTATTGTTAAAGCCTAGTTTGGAGAATTTTGAGCATTACTTTGCTAGCATGTGAAATGAGTGCAACAGTACAGTAATTCTTTTAGTTAGCATAATGATTTTGAAGTTCATCCATGTTGCTGGGCTTATCAGTTTATCTTTTCCTTTTTATTTTATAAATGTATTTTTTGCTTATCCTTTCACCTGTTGGTGAATTTAGGTTCTACCTAGCCGTTTGCTTTCATTTCTCCTGGGTCAGTAAAAGAATGACTGGGTGGTATGATAGGTGAAAGTTTAACTTTATTCATTGTGGGTTTTATTTGTATTTCCTTGGTGATAATGTCAAGCTTCTTTTCATGTACTTACTGGCCATTCATTTGTCTTATTTTGTGAAGTGTCTATGTAAAATCTTTTACTCATCTCTTAAATGAGTTATCTTCTTATTCTTGAGTTGTGCAATCTCTTTATATACTTTGGAATTCTTTATCAGATATATTTGTCAAATATTTTCTCTCTGTGACTAAAAATTTTAATTTCTGAAGTATCTTTTGAAGAGCAGGATGTTTTAGTTTTGATCAAGACCAATTTATCAATTTATTCTCTAATGGTTTGTGCCATTTGTGCTCTAAGAAATCTTTATGAAAACAAAGTCAGTAAGATTTTCTCCTGTTTTCTTCTGTAAATTTTAGCTCTCATACTTAGATCTCTGTATGAGGTTAAGGTGAAAGTTCTGTGAGTGTGTGTGTGTGTGTGTGTTTATGTGTCTAGTTATTGCAGCACCATTTTTTGAAAAGACTACACTTTTCATTGAAATGCCTTGGCATCTTTGTTGAAAATTAGTTTACTATGTGTAACTAATATTTACACATTTTTTTCTGGATTCCCTATTCAGTTTCATTGATTCATGTGCCTGCTAAGTTGATTCAGTCATGTCCAACTCTTTGCGACTCCATGGACTGTAGCCCGCCAGGCTCCTCTGTCCATGGAATTCTCCAGGCAAGAATACTGGAGTGGGTTGCCATGCCCTCTTCCAGGGGATCTTCCTGACCCAGGGGTCGGAGCCTGTCTCTCTTTAAGTTTCCTGCATTGGCAGGTGGGTTCTTTACATCTAGCACCACCTGAGAAGCCCTTCATGTCTATCTTTATCCCAATTATCACTGTCTTGATTGCTGTAGCTTTGTAAGTTCTGAGACCAAGTAGCCTATAAGTCCTCCACCTTATGTTCTTGTCTCATAGTTTAGCCAAAACATTTCCATGTACCTTTTAGAATTAGCTTGTCAAATTAAAAAAAAATCCTGATGGCATTTTGACTGTGTATAGACAAACTTGGGAGCATCCATATCTTAATATTATTTATACATAATCATGGCATTGCTATTTATTTAAATCTCTTTCTCAAAAAAAAATTTTTTTTAATAGCTGGTATAGAGTGCTTGCTTATATGTCTTTGGTTGAACTTATCCCTAGGAACCTCGTATGCTTTGCTGCTACTGGTATCTCTGAAGATTTTCTAACTGATGCTGCTGGGATATAAACCTTGCAAAATTCACTTATTAACTCTAATATAGTTTTTGGTAGATTCTTTTAAAATTTCTATGTGCATAATTATGACTTCTGTAAATAATGACAATTTTCTTTCCAGTCCTGATTCCTTTTAATTCTTCCCTGCCTTTACTGCACTGGTTAAGCTCTCCAGTACAATACTGAATACAAATTGTGAAAGCAGACATCCTTGTCACATTATTGATCTCAGAGAGAAAGTACCTGAGTCAGAATTCTGGCCCCCAAAGATGCCCACATTCTAGCATCCAGAATTTGTGAATATATTACATGGCCAAGGGGAATTAAAAGTTGAAGATGGAATAGAGATTACATGTAAGCAAGCCTTAAAATAGGGAGATTAGATTACCTGGGTGGGCCCAATGTAATAACCAGGGTCCTTAAAAGTGCAAGAAGGAATCAGAAGGGTCAGTGTCAGAATGATGTGATGACAAAAGCATTCAACCCACTGTAGTTGGCTTTGGAGATGGAGGAAGAGGGCTACAAGCCAAGGAATGTCTGAGGTTCATAGATACAAGAAAGGACAAGGAAACAGATTTCCTTCCTAGAACCCCCAGAAAGAAACAGCCCTTTGACGCTTATGTCAGCGTTCTCATCTGCACAGCTGTCACATATGGAAGAGATTGTGTTGTTTGAAGACACTAATGTTTGTGACTATTTATTACAGCAGTGACAGAAAACAAATAGAGGAAACTTCAGATTTTCCAGCACTAAGTATGATGTTTGCTGCAGTTTCTATGTATATGTTGTCTGTTTGCTCTTGGGTTCCTTCTAGTGTATTTCTTACATAGTTTCAACTCTAATATTTCTTCTGAGCTCTGTCAGCAGCCATTTTATTTCCTATTGCTTACCCATCCAATTCTTCTTTTTTTTTTAATGTAGATAATCAACCTCTTTTTTTCCCCATCTAATTTCTGAGCTTTTCTGATGCTGATGCTATATTGTTCTTTCTTGGCTATCATTTCTTGAATTCCTTCAGCATTTTAACAAATATTACTGATTTCCTCTGCTTTGTAAGTGTTTCTAGGATATCTTCATTTTCTGTAGGTTATCCTGTCTTCTTAAAGCATGCCTTACCATGTGATCATGTTTAAAATGAGATGAACTTTGTCATACTTTGCTCCTTTATTTTCAGATTTCAGGGTAGATGGTGAGGTGGGCCTGGAATTTCTTGGTTTTGTGGTTCTAGGCTTCCCTCTTCTGCAGTTACTAAAAATCATTTGATAACATTTAAAAAAAATAATTTTTAAGTTATTATTTTTATTTTTTATTTTTACCTTTTTGACAGCGCTTCACAGCTTGTGGGATCTTAGTTCCCCACCTAGGGATTGAGCCAAGGCCCTGGGAATGAAAGCACCGAGTCCTAACCATTGGCCCAGGGAATTTCCAGATGATGTGGGGTTTTTTGGCTGTTTTTTATTGTGGTGAAAGCCACGTAATACAAAACATACTATTTTAACCATATTTAACTGTACAGTTCAGTGGCACTAGGTATATTCCCAGATGACATGGCTTTTTATGTCCCTTCTTAGTACTTTCTGAATTGTCTTATCTGGTCCCCTGTTCCAAATGCATCAGAACCTTTCTCTCCTTTATCCCCAGGGTCCCTTCCTTGTTGATGTCTGTTTTGCACCTAGGAGTTTCTCTCAGCGTAGGCCTCGGTGCTCTCCCCAGATACTTCTGGGGACCCCACAGGCCAGGCTGCCCTCACCCCCTCATACCTCCCTGCAGGCTCCAGTTGAATGCTGACAGCCCTCTTCCAATTCTGATTGTGGTTTTGAATGCAACAGTTGATGCTGCCATGACAACTGGGGCTCCTCCTTCTGGGGCTGAGGACATGTGGGCAGGTTCTGGGATCTTTGGCTCTTAGGACCATCCCAAGACCCCCTCAAGACCCCCTCCCTTTCTCTCCGCTCACTCCTCCAATGATGTTGTTCCCATGTGATCCTATTAGTTTCCTGGGTCCAGAGGGATATTCTTCCACCTAATTTTAGGGAAGATGGTGTCACTGTGACTTTTCTTTTGCTATCCCAGTTGCTCTATGAGGATCTGACATTAAATAACTACTCACTGTGGCTGCCATCTACCCTTCTGTAATTGGTTTTTAATTTTAAAATGTTTTATATTTTTCTATTTATACTGTAACACCTGGGATAGGACAGACTATGGTACGTTTTAACAAATAAATGCAAAATCTTAGTGACTAAATACAAGCCCTTATTTCTTGCACACGTCACAGTGCAGTGCAGTTGGCATGCTCTACCGGTAGGTTTCCAAGCAGTGCTTCACATGCCCTGGGTACTTCCACTTTGCAAATTCTTTGTTTATAGCCAAACAAGAAGACAGGAGAGTGGCTAACGGTGACCACTGGTTGTGATGCAGTGAGTTTTATTGCCAGATCTGGAGGTCACATGACATCCTTGGCCGGACTCAGTCACGTGACTCCAAACCAACCACAAGAAAGGACTGGAAACAAAGCCACACTGAGAATCTCTTCCTCAACTCTGTACAGCTGCCCAAGCAACTCTGGGAAAGAACGTGGACTATGAAACAGTACCCATCTCTTTGTATATCTGTAAAACGATTTAAAATGTAATCTAATCAAAGAACTGGTCACCACTGTTTTTAATAAGGTTTTAATTCCATTAGTACAAAACTTAAAAAAAAATTTATGCATCAAGTCGTTTTCAAGACTACAAAAAAACATGTCTCCATGTTTGCTGACAAATTTGGAGAATAAGGCAGCTTATATTTAAATAAAAATTAAAATGCCTCTAATTATAAAGATTCCAGTTAAATGTCTTTTGGAATGATAATGTATTAAGCTGTACTAACATATAAAGTAAGAAAATGGTGGTTTGGCATCATTCATAAACATAAACATATTAACAAACATTCTAAATATTCAATACACATACTTCAGGAGAAATCTAGAAATGAATCCTTTTTATTATCTTTAGTCTACATGTTTAACAATACAAATACACTCACTGAAAAAATTAACGATATTTAAATAAAAACAAAGTTCATGAAAATTTACAAAGTACAACCAATGTATTCTGACTTGTAATCATATCTTAAATATTTCAGCTTTATCTTTCTGACCTGGTCAGATCATTTAAAAATATTTTCACACTACTTAATTTTAGGATATAAAACAGTAGCAACTTACTAAGTTTATGTTATAAAAATTAATATAGCAATTATCAAAATACTGAAAAAAACTGTCTTATGAGAGCAGTATCCAGATCATAAAAACTTATGTCATTAAGAAAACATCTTCAAAAGGCACATTTTAATTACTGGTGTTTATCTAAAGATAGTAGCTTGAGCTTTGAATTTCCAGTCAGTTTTTCATTATCTCAGTATGAAGATCATGGAGGGCTGGAGAAGGTAAGAGAACACAGGTTTCCAGTGGACTTCACCAGGACAGCAGTATCCTTACTCATCACATCCACAAAGACCAAGAGAAAGATGTAGAGGAAGGGAGGATTTCTGGTCTAATTCAACCTTCAGGAAATACTTTTTACATAAAAATAACTTAGTTTAAAAGATTACAGGACAGAAAGCTTGAAAAACACAAGGCCAAAACCACAAACTGCCCAGTTTAATTTGAGTGGTGATGTTACTTGTTTGGAGCCTAAGAAGAGAAAAGAGGCTTCTGCTTGCTTCTCTGGGATCAAATCTTCATATGGAGCTCATCTCAATTTAAATTACTCAATGAGTTAAAAGTACTACAAATTCCCAGCATGTCAGACATACTGGTGTTTAAAATAAAATAATGATTTTATGGTTATCTCTGTCATGTTCCCCTTTAACTGGGGCTGATATTCTAAAGTTGACTGTAATTATAATATCAGTAATTTCAAGTACTCTACAAAACTACTATTATTTTTAAGAGGTTATGTCCTAGGACCTCAAAATGGCATCCAATATACAGTTTGAGTTATGTTTTACTTTTCAGTGAAGTTTAATACTAATTGAAGTACTAAATTGAACCAGAGCAGTGCTCGGAAGCACTAACTGATTAAGTACTGATCCCATGCAAGAAACAGAAGGGATTTTTTAATGCTATTTTGGAATGTCAGAATACTGGGGATCTACATTTCATATTATTTCCCTCAAGTCTCAATTGAGTGTTTCCACTTTTTTTAAAATGTGGGAGACATCATTAGATTTTTTTTCCTCACTGTAAACAAAATAATTGACAAAAATATTCTGAAGTATGAAAAAGAAAATGGTTATCAGTTACTTAAACAAAATATAATTTTCTGGTCCCTAATAATGGTCATGTTAGGAGTATTTATTCAAGTTCTAAAATAGCAGCTTTTTAAATTAAGGCAACATTGCTTTATTCTTACCTATTTTTTATTAACTACTCTATTATAGCTCATAAGAGCACTTTTACCCTCAAAAGCCTTTTATAATGTAAGAAGAATTAACATGACCATTCTTGTCAATGTTTAGAAAGTATATAAAAAGTAACTGTATTCAAAGTCAACAAACACCTTATTTTTCTGTTTGGAATTCAAGAGTAATGACAGTCATTTCAGAATGTGTAAACTATGAAATTACCTTAAACTAACATCAACAACATAAAATAAAATTTTTCTACAAAAATACGATATAAGAGATATATCACTTCTTCCCTGAAATAGAAATTTAACATTTAGACAAAAAAACTGTAAACTCTGATTACATTCAAAAGACAACCTTTCAGAAACTTATTATTATTTGAGGCTCTGGCAGCTGGCACTCTTACCAGCAGATTTACGTGACAGTAAGTTTTAACCACACAAGGCCACACAGTTGTTTCTCTCACAGCCGCTACCAGGAGGAAAAGAACGGCTTCCTGCAGTGGACAGTCTGGGTGAATGAATTGCTGAGGTGGACGACCCGGCCCTGCCCTCCGCCCTGACTGCGCTCCACGACCACACAAGGCATCTGCACCAGCTGGACAGGACTCTTCCTGTCTCTCAGTGCCTGAGTGAGGTTTAAGATCTGTGGGGGAAGAGAGGTTCTCATCAGCTCAACAAAGGCAAAGGCCTCAGCTCACTGATATTATTTTAACTATCTACTCATAACTACAGCTTTTATTTTATCCATTTGTGCCCAACAGAGACAGTGATGCGGAGTACCCGCTATCAGTACAAATATGTGGAGGTATGTATGCTTGTACATACACATCCGTATACACAAACAAACGCACAAGATTAGAATTAAATAATTCTTGCCAATTGACAACTCTGAAATATTCTAGAATGCATCTACATCCAGAAGAATTGAATCAGAGACAGAATACAGTGAATGGTTCCACATACATACTCCACTGACACTGGTCCTAAATAGATACTGGTCTAAATAGTCTCGTTTTTACTAAATGCTTGCCTTATCCACTCACTCAACAAATAAATTTATTGCGTGTTCACTGGAATTATTAATAGGACCTAGTATGAAGGCATTTCTTTTAAAATGTGACTAATAATGTTTATTAAGTTAAAACTTTTGAATTTTACATTAAATAGCAGTAGGGTCATGATCAATCTCAAGAAGAGCATTCATTTCCTATTCTACCTGTGCCTATTTGGAACACTGGACCTCAGAAATACTAATTTACTTGAAATATATTTTTATACATTATCTGAAAAAAAATGGCAGAAATGGAATCCCTTCCATGTGGAATCTAAAGCCCTCCAAAATTTGACTCTCTAGCCTGCTTCTCCAACCTTTTCACTTACTGTTTAAAACTTATGACTCCAGCAAAGCCCTGTGTAAGCACAACAGAACACGGAGAGGTATGCAAGCTAATAATCCGTCCTCTTTCCTAGCCCCGGGCAGAATCAGAGCCAGGGTTCCAGGACAGTGGTTTTACTCACTGCTTTCTTTCAATCACTAGGACAGTTTCTGGCACTGGTTCCGTCAATAAGCAATTAATGAATAAATACAACAGTTATTTAATTATATCCATTTGTTAATGTTACATAATAAATAGTGCAAAAACTAGACTTGTCTTCTTGGTCACAGGTCTGAAGCAGCTACCTTAAATGAAATGTATCTTTTAGAAAGAAAAAATTAATTACTAAATCACTGAATGACCATTTTTGCACTATAGTTTATTTTTATTTCAAGTCTTTCTTTTGGAATCTAAATACTAGTAGTAGAGTAGAAAAAGCAGAGTCACTTGTAGGTCAGTCTAGCCTTCAGGTCCACACCAGCAGATGTAATCAATACCCTGTGTTTCTAATTAAAGGAGGTGAAAAGGAGTGAGAGCATTGAGTTACAACTAGTCCTTTTATGTCCCAAGTAGTGCTCATCCTTGGTGACATGACTATTTATTGACTACTCTAGCAAAGGTCAAACAAGTTCTCTGAGGAAAAGCATCCACAGGGGACAGAACTTGGTATTGAAACATTCAAGCAAGTGGATTTGAGAAGGAGAAAGATACTAACACTCAGGAAAACAGTTATTAAAGTGAGGACAAGAATTAGCAGTAGCAGGAAACTGACTAACCAAATAATACACAACAAAGTAAAAAAAAAAAAAATCTAATATGGAAACAATACGGGGGAAAAAAAAAGAGTAATGAAATCAACTTTATTTCTAATCATCTCAGCTATTTTGGTTCAGAATAAAGAACAGTACTGAGAGTTGTCTCTGCATCACAATGGAGGAAAAAAGTTGATTGCTGTTTCAGAGAGAGCTCTTTTCAATAATGAACAAGATCTTAAAAAAGTGACCTACCTGACCCCTCATCACAGACATCTGCTTTTCAAAAGTGGCTTTATCAAATTTTCTGTCAATCTATCACAAACAGAAAAGGAAACATTATTACAAAAATCAAGCTCTTTGAAAAAAACACTTGAAAACAAATGAACTCTTCAACCTAGCACATGAGATCATTACAAAGCATTCCTAATAAAAAAGTTACAGGAAAAGATTAATTTTACTTGATGCATTTTTGTGTACCTCTAGAATGACAATAAATAACTCTACTTATACTCCAACTTGTTCCAGAAAGGATTTAAAATGACTTTCCAGCCAACAGCTTTAGGCTCTTTTTAAGAAAATTAAATAACAGATCACCAAACATTTCTTATAATTCACAGAGTAATTTTGTAAAAGTTCAACTTTTGAAGAAAACAACTTCCCAAATTACAATGTAGTCTCATTTCAAAGAATACCCAAAGTGTAACTTCACAAATTTATGCTCCTATAAAGAAAAATGCTAACTCCTTTCTGTTATATCAGGTTCTGCAAGCAGTGATATCAGAAGCAGTAAACTGCAAATTAGCTCTATTAGGAAAAACTCTTTTAAGATTTATTTCATTTTCTGAAATAGTTAAAACTAAAAATCTATTTACCTTAAAAAGTTCATAAAGATCTTCACATAAATCTTGCACAAAGTTCATGTCTGAAATACATGGCAGAACCAAGTTTTTTATTTCTTCAGAAAAAGGAACTTTTGCTTGAGGAAGCCAAGCCCAGTGAAATGGATCTAAAAAAAAAAGTATTCTTATCAGTGAGGGAAAATGGTTTATTTAGACTCACATTTATTCAGTATTTTTCTCTATAATTCCTGGGTTAACAAAAAGACAGGAGAAGTTATCAGAACAATTACTCTTTGCCATCTAAGTTATTTAAATTTTTTAAGTTTAGATGGTTAATTCAGATGGCTTCCTTGGTAGCTCAGAAGGTAAAGAATCTGCCTGCAACGCGGGAGACCCAGATTTGATCCCTGCGTCGAGAAGATCCCCTGGAGAAGGGAATGGCAACCTACTTCGGTATTCTTGCCTGGAGAATTCCATGGACAGAGGAGTCTGACAGGCTCCAGTCCCTGCAGTTGCAAAAAGCTGGACAGGACTGAGCAACTAACACTTTCACTTTCAGATGGGAAAGCGCAGTATTTACCCAAGCTGGTTAGGTTTCTGAGTTTTTAAACAGGAAAATAGTTTTGATCATGAGTGTATCTCCAACAGCCCTATATCATATCTGAATGTCTCGTTGCTGTGTTTGGAAATTGAGGGGTACCTATAATTTGTTCACAGCCCCAGATATCATGACTGAGGTCTCCCTGAAGTTTCAGCCACAAATGGTCAGGAATTGATGACTCATTGGTGTGTATGTATATGTCTGTGCTTAAAATTTTAAATCACTAGTAGGTCAATAGGTAAAATGTTCTAAAATTTTAAATCATTAGTAGGTCAATAGGTGGGCTTCCCTGATAGCTCAGTTGGTAAAGAATCCACCTGCAATGCAGGAGACCCCAATTTGATTCCTGGGTTGGGAAGATCTGCTGGAGAAGGGGTAGGCTACCCACTCCAGTATTCTTGGGCTTCCCCTGTGGCTCAGCTGGTAAAGAATTCGCCTGCAATGCGGGAGACCTGGATTCGATCCCTGGGTTGGGACAATCCCCTGGAAGAGGGAAAGGCTATACCCACTCTAGTATTGTGGCCTGGAGAATTCCATGGACTGTATAGTCCATGGGGTGGCAAAGAGTCGGACACAACTGAGCAACTTTCACTTTCAGGTCATTAGGTAAGCCACTTTGAGAGAGAAGAGATTCATGATTTTGGGCTAACTCTAGTTCTCACCCAAGAAGACCATTAAATATACACAGTGCCAGGACTAGAAAGATTTGTAAAGCAGTGAGATAATCTAGATATAGGGTGCATATTCAGATTCTTGCAAGAAAATGTAAGGTTTATGACAGTATGATCCCCTACAGAACTACAGTTCATTCAAGGAGAATCTCTAGCTCCTACCACTCAGAAAGCCCTGAGGGAAAAAACTTTGCCTTTAGAGTCATTTCTTCTGAATTCTCCTTTATCTATCTCTTTGAATACTATGGAAAGTACAGTCCATTCCAAAGAAAGCCGTCCCCTGACCAATCACATAAAAGAAAAGCTCTGATTCTCTGCCTGTCTCCAATTCCAATCCCTGCCCCTCAACTTCTTCTATCACCGTTCACACTCTCCCCTAAGGCCCCCAGTCATCTCATCAGGCTCTTTTCAAAAGTCCATGTGCAGTCCTCATGCTACTTCACGTGTCTTTGCAGCCAGCAGCACTGTTCTCTGTCGTCTCCCTCTGTGAAATGCTCTCCGACGTGGTTTCTGGTGCTACCACTGTCTCAAACTTTACCTTCTGTCTTTTAAGCCATTTCTCTTTTGCTGGCTTTTTCTCCGGGTTCCAACACCACCATTGCCAGACTCTACACTTAGTCTTTCTCTCCTTCATTTACCAAACACTCATGAAATGTCCATTGAGTACCTACGTATCTCACACTGCCCGAGGATGGCATTTGTTCACCACGATGCTCCCAGGTGCAACACCACCATGGCTTCTGCTTACCAAGGCGACAGTTTAAAAATGACATCCTCAACACCAATTACTCTTCCAACCTAGGGACTGAATCCAGATCTCCCACATTGCAGGCAGAGTCTTTACTGACTGAGCTACCAGGGAAGCTCCACCAAACATTCATGAAACATTTACTGAGTACCTACGTATCTCACACTGCCCGAGGATGGCATTTGTTCACCATGATTTTCCCAGGTGATAGCAACTCTGCCATGGCTTCCACTTACCAAAGTAACAGTTTAAAAATTACATCCTCAATACCAATTACTCTTTCGAGTTCTAGACCCTTATTTTTTTGGTGTCTGTGTTTGGTGAAATTTTTCAGGTGTATTGCAGGCATCTTAAACTTGACACCTTTAAAAGGCAATCTGTATATAGATTCCAAACCATTAGAGGTAAAAAAGAAAAATAGAACAAAGACATCTCAAGTCAGTTCAACCAAAGACAGGAAAGGAAAAAAAGAAAAAATTTAAATTCATGGTAAATAGGAAAAAAAAAAGATGGTAGGGAAAGTTCAAACACATCAGGAGTTTATTGAGACAAACTACAGAGTTAAGTGTAGCTATTAAAAGGATCTCAGATTGGGCAAAAAATCTTCAGCTAGGAGCTATTTATATGTCATATACTTAAAACAAAATGATGGAAGTTGAAAATAAAAGCATAGAATAATACAAGTAAATACTAGTAAAAAGAAACGAGGTATAGCAATGTTACAACAGACAAAATAAGAAATGCGAAAAACACTGTGAGGGATAAAGAGGGATATACTTTACACTAACAAAAAGAACAAGTCACCCCAGCAAGATAAAACACTGGGACTTTGAGTGTGGAATACAAAGCAAAAAGTGCACAAAAATACAAGAAAAAATTGACAAAAATCTCAATCATGGTGAACTTTGTCTCTCAAAAATTAGCAAATTAAATGGTTAAAAAATAGGTCAAGAATATGATTTGACTAATAAGTTTTCATTAGAAGACAGACTTGGTGCTCAACCACATTCTTCTCAAAAACAGTACTTTAAACTGGCCATAGATCAAGGTAGCAAAGAATGACTAACAAATTTCAAATTTGGAAAGCTATCAAACTTATTTTACAAGGCTAACACAAGCTAAGAAATCAAAATCAGACATAGTCACCCAAAATAAGGAACGATACATGGCAAGGCTCACAGAGTGTATTACATATCTTTGCATCCGAGGGTCTAGAATTGAGTCTGAATGACTGTAACATACCCAGCTTTCCTCTGCTATTTTGATATCATTCCCATCCTATTCTGAAAAGGGGGTCACCAGAGATACTATAAAAATTTCTAAATACTCACATGCTCTCCACTCATCAGGATGTTTAAAAGGAAACGCTAGACCGTTATCAATTGCAGCTATTTTAATAAGTGTTTCTTTATCATCAGTCCATTTTGTATCCTAAAAGGGAGAAAATAGTTGATAAAACAATTTATATGTATATTTCCAAAAGAAAAAAATGTATAATAATTATTGAGCTTTAAAGACATTTTATCAGAAGAGTTTATAAAAATAAAGTTACCAGAAAGTACCAATTTACCATTTAAGGGAAGACAGGGTCTTAAGAACCAGTAAAAACTTCATAATCACTATTTTTTAAATCTGCTATTACAAAGTTATACAGTAATAGTTTCATTCTTTTCATCTTTGGGGAAGAAGGCTTGACATTATTAAGACTTCAAAATGTGTAGTTCTGTATAATAGGCTCCAGGTTCATCCACCTCACTGCAACTGACTCAAATTCATTCCTTTTTATGCTAAGTAATATTCCATTGTATTATATATATATGTACCACATCTTCTTTATCCATTCACCTGTTGATGGACATCTAGGTTGCTTCCATGTCCTGGCTATTGTTAAATAGTGCTGCAATGAACCCTGGGGAACATGTGTCTTTTAGAATTGTGGTTTTTCCCGGGGTATATGCCTTGCAGTGGGATGGCTGGGTTATATAGTAGTTTTGTATAGAGTGAGGTAAATCAGAAAGAGAAAAACAAATATTATATATTAACGCATATATATGGAATCTAGAAAAATGGTACTGATGAATCTATTTGCAGTGAAGGAATGGAGGTGTAGATACAGAGAAAGGACTTCTGGATACAGCTGGGTAAGGAAACAGTGGGATGAACTGAGAAAGTAGCATTGGCATGTATACATTATCATGTGTAAAACAGAAAACTGGAGGGAAGTTGCTTTATAACACAGGAAGTCCAGCCTGGAGCTCTGTAATGACCTAGAGGGAGGGGTGAGATGTGGGGGAGGGGAGGGAGGCTCAAGAGGCAGAGGATATACGTATAATTATGATTGATTTGTGCTGTTGCATCACAGAAACCATGCAACATTGTAAAGCAATGTTCCTCCAATTAAAAAATTTTTTAAAAATAAATGTTATGACCATGTATACCAAAAAATGTTAATTATGTGATGGGATGGAGGTGTCAGCCAACCATACTGTGATAGTCATTTCACAATAAATACTTGTATCAAATCATATTGTACACCTTAAAACTGCATGCATGTCAATAATACCTCAATAAAGTTGGGGAGAAAAATAAATAAAATGTGTAGTTCTGGATAATTTACTGTTAGATATGTTGCTTAAATGGATGTATGTATGTTAGTTTCTCAGTTGTGTCTGACTCTGTGACCCCCATGGACTGTAACCTGCCAGGTTCCTTTGTCTGTGGGATTCTCCAGGCAAGAATACAGGAATGGGTTGCCATTTCCTTCTCTAGGGGATCTTCCTGACCCAGGGATCAAACCTGGGTCTCCCGCATCAGCAGGCCAATTCTTTACTGACTGAGTCACCAGGGCTTTAATGTACGGTATTTGCAAAATACTGATATTTTTAAGATAATGACAAAGTTACCTTACTAAAATAAAGTCCTTCCTAGGGTCTCATAGAAATAATTAGTTCAAGTACAAAATGTTTCTAAATAAGACTCGCCAACAACCATGGCTAAATGTAATAAGGTCCAGTAGAAGGAACCTCAAGATACTCTTGATTATAGAAGGTAGGCCATTTCTAACTTCTCCATTCTCCTGTAATGGAAATGCAAGCCTCAGAAGCAAGAGAGTTTTCATGTGGAAGAGTACTTCTTATTATCTAAAAATAGACATTATCATTATTAAGTGGTCTAGATTTTAAAAAGGTGAAAAAGATAATTTTTAATTAAAATATTACAGTGAAGGTACAGATGATACATGCCAGAGTTGTTTCTGTTAGCTTATATCAAATATCTTATCTCAATGAGAATGCACAAAATACTTAAGAGCAAAAGAATAAGGTTTTCAGTAAAATCCAGTTGCTTTAGATATACCAATAAAATATATTTAGAAATTATTATAAGCAGGTATATTTTTATATATGTATTTTTAAATTTTATATATGTATTTTAAAACCCTGCTATAACTGTCATTTATTTTTATTTCTAACACTCTTTTCTATTTATAACTTCAGTGAGGTATAATTTACACACAATAAACTTCACACATTAAAGTGTACAAGTTGATAAGCACTGAAAGATATGAAACTACCCAGATGTTTCCCTGTGTCCTTTAGCAGTCTCTTCCCTCCCTTTACACCACCCCAGGCAAGCATCATTTGTTTTCTGTCCCTAGGGATTAGTTTGTACTTTCTAGATTTTTATACAAAAGGAATCAGACAGTATCTTCCCTTTTGTTTAGCTTCTTTCACTCAGCAGGGTTTTGAGATTCATCCACATTACTGCATGTATCAAGTGTGTTCTTTATTTATTGCTGATTACTTTGAATATGTAATTTCAAAATTCTTTGATGAACTATGAAAATTAAAAACTTTTTAAAGTGATGTAACAGCTTTAAATGATGAGAATCAGTTCAGTTCAGCTCAGTCATTCAGTTGTGTCCGACTCTCTGCAACCCCATGGACTGCAGCACGCCAGGCCTCCCTGTCCATCACCAACTCCCTGAGTTTTCTCAAACTCATGTCCATTGAGTCGGTGATGCCATCCAACCATCTCAGCCTCTGTCATCCCCTTCTCCTCCCAGCTTCAATCTTTCCCAGCATCAGGGTCTTTTCTAATGAGTAAGTTCTTTGCATCAGGTGGCCAAAGGATTTCACATTTAATATCAGCCCTTCCAATGAACACTCAGGACTGATTTCCTTTAGGATGTACTGGCTGGATCTCCTTGCAGTCCAAGGGACTTTCAAGAGTCTTCTCCAACACCACAGTTCAAAAGCATCAATATTTCAGTGCTCAGCTTTCTTTATACTCCAACTCTCACATCCATACATGACTACTGGGAAAACCATAGCTTGGATTAGACGGACCTTTGTTGGCAAAGTAATGTCTCTGCTTTTTAATATGCTGTTTAGGTTGGTCATAACTTTTCTTCCAAGGAGCAAGCGTCTTTTAATTTCATGGCTGCAGTCACCACCTGCAGTGATTTTGGAGCCCAGAAGAATAAAGTCAGCCACTGTTTCCACTGTTTCCCCATCTATTTGCCATGAAGTGATGGGACGTTAGTTTTCTGAGTGTTGTTCTTTAAGCCAACTTTTTCACTCTCCTCTTTCACTTTCATCAAGAGGTTCTTTAGTTCTACTTCACTTTCTGCCATAACGGTGGTGTCATCTGCATATCTGAGGTTATTGACATTTCTCTCAGCAATCTTGATTCCAGCTTGTGCTTCTTCCAGCCCTGCGCTGGAATGTACCATGATATACTCCACGTATAAGTTAAATAAGCAGGGTGACAATATACAGCCTTGACGTACTCCTTTCCTTATTTGGAACCAGTCTATTGTTTCATGTCCAGTTCTAACTGTTGCTTCCTGACCTACATACAGATTTCTCAAGAGGCAGGTCAGGTGGTCTGGTACTCCCTTCTCTTTCAGAACTTTCCACAGTTTGCCATGATCCAGTCAAAGGCTCTGGCATAGTCAGTAAAGCAGAAATAGATGTTTTTCTGGAACTCTCTTGCTTTTTCGATGATCCAACGGATGTTGGCAATTTGATCTCTGGTTCCTCTGCCCTTTCTAAATCCAGCTTGAACATCTGGAAGTTCATGGTTCACGTACTGTTGAGGTCTGGCTTGGAGAATTTTGAGCATTACTTTACTAGCATGTGAGATGAGTGCAACTGTGTGGCAGTTTGATCATTCTTTGGCATTGCCTTTCTTTGGGACTGGAATGAAAACTGACCTTTTTCCAGTAAAAAGAATATCAGTACTGAGCTGATATTATTCTTCTATACTAATACAACATACAAAATAAAATTGCACAGAGATTTCAAAAATAGAATAAAAAATGCAACATAAGCAGGCGAAGGAAAGAAAAAAGATGATAAAAACAGAAAAAGGAGATAAAAACCAAGGATCAAGGTGAAGGAAATGAGGAAGTGATGAAGAATAACTTCAAGAATTTTTAATAGACACTGATAGTGTGTTTATATATGCATATATAGTAAAATTCCCTCACCGTAACTTCATCTTCATGTGTCTGCTTTTCACATCTGATTAACCAGTTATCATTTCCCCTGTCTTTCAAAACAAACGAAAAATCTATTACTTCATTTTTTATAGATATCATAGCTTAATATCAAGCAGAAAAATCTAGTCACCTCCTCGATTTTGAGACCTTCATTTGTTATCTGTAGCACAGTAACACATTAAAGGCTTCAATTTAATACATACAAACTAAAAACCCTCATAAATGTTAGTTAACATTTATTGTTTAGTCTGTGCCAGAAATTGGTGTTAAGTGCCTTAACATGTATTAACTCATCAAATTCTTACAAAAACTCTGTGAAGTAGGTGCAATTACTGTCAAGAACTTTTAAATCAGCATTATTAGAAAGGATAATTTCTCTTCACCTGAGGGAGAAAAACGATCTACCCCCGTTACCAAGCAAATTTCTCTTACCTAATGTCACGACAAGAGTAGTCTAGTTACAAATTCTTTAAAAAACTGAAGCAGAGTTGGTTTACTCAACACAGCACTGTGTTAGTGTCAGGTGTGCAGCAAAGCGATTCCGGTAAACAGACAATTTTATCAGGTTATTTCCCATTATCGTTATCACAAGATCTTGAATATAACTTCCTGTGCTACACCATCTCCTTGGTGCCTATTTATCTGAGCACAGCAGTTTGTACCTGCTCGCCCCACGCTCCTCATCTGTCCCTCCTTCCTTCCTTCTCCCCTGGGGTAGCCATCAGTTTGTTTCCTATGTCTGCAAGTCTGTTCCTGTTTTGTATGCGGATTCACTGGTATTACTTTTTTTAGATTCCACATATAATTGATCATATAATTTTTGTCTTTCTCAGTCTGATTTACTTTACCATGTATAACATTTTCTAGATCCACCCACATTGCTGCAAATGGCAATAGTTCATTCTCTCTTGTGACTGAGTACTATATTCCATTGGACTCTATACTAACTTTGCCATTAATTTAAGACTGTATGATTTTAAAAGGTGAATCTAAAAAGGTACATAATGCTTTTTCAGAAACTAATATAAATGAGCAAAAATTCTGAACTAGAGTTTTCAGGCTTCAGAGTACATCAGAATTGCCTGGGGGGTGGTGGTTTAGTTGTTCAGTCATGTCCAGCTCTTTGTGACCCTGTGAGCTGTAGCCCGCCAGGCTCCTCTGTCCATAGTAGCTTCCAGGCAAGAATACTGGAGTGGGCTGTCATTCCCTTCTCCAGGGGATCTTCCTGACCCCGGGACTGAACCCGGGCCTCCTGCACTGCGGGCAGATTCTTCACCGACTGAGCCACCAGGGAAGCCCCAGGGGACCTGTTAAAACACTAACTGCTGGACCCATGTTCAGTAGATTGGGATGAGTTCCCAGAAGATGCATTTAGGCCCACATAACACTGACCCTAACACAGACCAGGGAACCACATTTGGGAATCACTGCTTCAAATTATCAACAGCGTCACTGCTCCCTGCCAGCACAGAAAAAATTAAGAGTTTATTGTATTTACAGACTGTACTAACAGCCACCTAATGTCAAAATAAGCATCTAAAATAACTTACACAATCAAGTTTTAATTATTCATATTATGCAGATAACATATCCAATTTCCAGTAGGCTTTGTACTGCTGCCAAGAAACTCCACCTGAGGGACAGGTACTCATCACTATCACTGGGGCAGGAGCCTGCCCTGAGTCAGAATCTCCAGTATGGGTTTAATGCTGCCTGGGAGAGTCGGCACTACATATCTGCTTTCCAAGGCAGGCAAAGAAAAAGACTTTGCCTTTTCCAAAAAGTAGCCTTAAGACTACTGCAGCAAAACTTTAAATCTTTGATTTGGATAAACAAGAGCTGAATACAGTTTGAAAGTTAAGATGTGAGTAAACAATGAGAGAACTTCCATACCTGTATTTCTGATGATGTAATCCAGAACAACTAATCTTTCAAACTGTGACTGAAACTGTTTTCTAATATTCTCAGGCAAAGGGTCAGCTTCAAATTTCCTAAGCCAACATTCAGCCTCCTTGTAACCTTCAACAAATAACTGAAAGGAACCAATCTATAATTTTAAGAATTAGAGTTAGAAAAGAAAATACAAGAACAAAGGAATTACTTTTAAAATTTCTCAGCACTACTGTCATAAAATATATAAACACAATAAGAAAAACTGAAATTAACACTAATTTATATAAGCCACATTTATCAAGAAAACTATTTTTATACATTAATTTAAAATAATCACATAAAGAATATATAGCAAATAAAAAATGATCAATCCTAGACTTTTAAGGAGCATAGAAGCTATTTTAGGATAATTGAAAAAGAAAATACACACATGTCCTCGAGGTAATATTCTCAATGAGAATGCTATTTTCTAAAAATATTTATTAAAATGAATTCAATTGTGAAGACAAAATCTGTACCTATCTTGGCTATTTAATAATAGTGTGATTTTATCTTACTGCAAAAATACATTAAGATTCTTTTTTACAACAGAAAATAACTTTATTTTTTAAAATGAATGAATTATTTGACTATGCAGCTTAAAGATCCTGTAATAAATTTTAAAGAATTAATCATAACCTCCACAGTGGTTTTTAAAAAAGTCCTTTCCTTGAAGATATGTCTATGTTATAAGGCTTCCTATCACTAAAATTACAAGCTGTTAACATTAAACAATTTTTTAAAGAAGAAAATGCAAATTCAAACAGCACAGAACACATAGATAATGGTACCCTAGCTGGCCTCCTTTGTCCGTGGGATTCTCCAGGCAAGAATACTGGAGTGGGTTGCCATCTCCTCCTCCAGGGGATCCTCCCTGCTGAGGCACTGAACCCAGGCCTCCCGCCTTGCAGGCAGGTTCTTTACTGTCTGAGCCGCCAGGAAAACTGGCTTCATAAAAACAAAGCACTACAAAGAAAATCTATCTCCGGAATTCCCTGGCAGTCCAGTGGTTAGGACTATGTGCTTTCACTGCTGAGGGGCTGGGGGTTCGATCCCTGGTTGGGGAATTAAAATCCTACATGCTGGATGGTGATGCCAAAATAAACATCTCTTAACACTTTATGTGACCTGTTGCTGGCATGAAATTTTAACGATTTCCTAAATGTTTTCTCTAAAGCACTCATAATGAGGTCCTAGTAGTCATAAATAGGGAAATTATTTCAGCACATGCAAGGAGTAACAGGCCTTGTCAATGGTTTCAAAATTTCCTGCTTACTTGGAGTACAATATTAAAGACAAGTTAACCATGTAGTTCTTACTCTAATTCTTTTATATAGATAAATGCATAGCAACAACAAGACAAAAAAATTGCAGGTTAAATATATTTAAAAAAATAATGAAAAGTCTAGTGCTTTTTCTAGAATGCTTTTCTCATTAACCTTCACTACCCTTGCAGAGCTAGTTGCTTATCATCCCTTAGGTTTATTTAAAACCTATGATAAGGAAAAAACCAAAATCTAATATGTAGTGAGTAAACCTGGTTACTACCATTTACTGTGTGCCAGGGACTATACCAAGTACCTGACATAAACTTTATCACTTTATTCTCACAACGCTAGTAGTTTCTGTCATCCTCGATTTATAGAAACTGAAGCTTGGGGAATAAGAGACTCACCCAAGGTCTCAGAGCTAACTGGTGAAGAGGCTTGGAGTACAATCTAGGTCTAATTCTCAGCCTGTACTTTCAGCTGTAACTTTCTAAAGCCTTAGGTGCAATCTCTTCTCGGAAATTTCCCAGCTCTCCAAACTGGGTTAAATATCCCTCCTCTACCCACTCTAAGCTCTCCGCACTTAATCATCATTAACAGCTTTATCATATTGTGTTGAGACTGCTTGTTACTACAAGCTATTGAAGACGGGAAAACCATTTTTACTAATATACCCATAACCCACAGCACAGAGCCTAGAGAGCTCAGGTAATGTGTGATGAAGTTTGTTGAAGTTTGTGTGTGCTTCGCTGTGTCTGACTCTTTGTGACCCCATGGACTGTAGTCTGCCAGGCTCCTCTGTCCATGGGATTCTCCAGGCAAGAATACTGGAGTGGGTTGCCATTTCCTTCTCCAAGGGATCTTCCCGACCCAGGGACTGAACCTGTGTCTCTTGCACCTCCTGCACTGGCAGGCAGATTCTTTACCACTGTGCCATCTGGGAAGCCCAATATGTGATGAATTGCCCGCTCTCTGCCCCCGCCCTCCCCATAAAGCGCATCACTGTAACTCACCTTAGGAGGAAGTCCTATCCGATGAAATTTTCTACCTACTTTTGGCACTTTCTCCAAAGCATACTTTTTGCCTCTAGATTTTGCACGGTCAATTGCACTGTAGTTAAACGTCTCACTGACAAGCCAAACCACCTAGAAATGTACAGTTTAGAGAAATGGCTATTAGAATTTGCATTATTATTGTCTATTCACATACACCATGGAACTCACATTAATGCTGTAAATGAGTGAAGTTTAATGCTATACTAAATGCCCTTGAGAATCTAAAACAGAAAAGCTAAGAGACTTTGTAAAGTTAGTTAAATGGCACACATGTATATCTTTCTCAGAGAAATACAGCCTAAAATTGGCCAGTGGAAGAAAGTATGTAGAATTAGGAAGGAAGATTTTGAGAACTTTAAGTAAAAATGTATAAAGGTCAAAAAGAAAAAGACAGGAATCTTCTGAGTATGTTAGTTATCTCTACCTTCAACAGAATTTCTAGATCACTGATTTTTTTCTGCTTTCTGAATGCTGGTTCTTTCTCCTCTTTTTGTCAGCATCATCTCAGCTCACATGAGAAAGAGATATTCCCTTGGATATTCTGTGTGTCTACACTCATTGGAAAAGATCCTGATGCTGGGAAAGACTGAAGGCAGTAGAAGAAGGCGACAACAGAGGATGAGATGGTTGGATGGCATCACTGACTCGATGGACATGAGTCTGAGCAAGCTCCAGGAGTTGGTGATGGACAGGGAGGCCTGGCGTGCTGGAGTCCACGGGGTCACAAACAGTCGGACACAACTGAGTGACTGAACCAAGTGACTGACACTAGAATCAATTTACTAGTCTTTTGTGACTCTGGATTACCAACCGCGACTTTAGATTCTGTAAACTAGAAGTACATGATAGAAAGAATGCCTCCCTTACTCTTGTTTTTGGTACAATGCCCAGATGAAGCTTTTCGTCCACAAGGTAGGCACCAGCTTCGGAAAGGTATCCCTGGTTAGGAAGCAGGCAGCCCCTGCCAAAGCAGCAAGGGCAGCAGACCTTGTGAACGTATTTGGTCCATTTCGGATTCAGGTGACCATAAGGCTCTTCTGATTTGGGTTTAAACACACCAATAATTTTCTATATAGGAAGAAAGTAAACACTTTGTTAGACTTTTAATATGGGGAGATGATCAGCATAAAATGCATTCTGGTTTTTTCTACTCTTCCCACCACAGATTTGGGCATAACCCTTAACAATTAAGAGTTTCAATTCCAGTCACAGTTTTACACTCATTCTCACTCAACAATCTAAAATCAATAATCTTTTGAGCTAGTGATTTTCAAACTGTGCTCTGAGAAACCCTAGAGAAGGTAAGAAGAGAGGGCTCTGAGACCCCATCCTCTGGTTTCACCCATTTTACATAACGGACGCCCTAGTTTAAAAAGAGTTCTGCTGATTTTAAAATGTTTGAAAATCAGTGACCTAGGTCAAACAGTGCTATTATTCAACATCTATTAAATATTCAAATTCTATGCTTATTCATTATCTACTTTCCCAGTAGGTGTGCATTCTAAAAGGACAGGGGACTTTCTCTGTAAGGGCTGTGTCACCAGTACTCAGAACAGTACCTGGCATACAGTAGGCATTCAAGCATTTGTTAAATGAATAAATCCAATGACAAAAAGCCATCTCTAAGATACAAAGGAAATGACAGGATATAGTGACATCTATGCTGCTGGATTCTCCTTTTTTCAATTTTTTTTATGAACCCATTTTAAATAAATTCTCTCCTCTTAAAAAAAATTGCTCATGGATGTCTAAAAGTCTTTCCCCATCAAGCATATATATCCTGTTAGAACTGTCTTTATTATTGGTCTGATAAAATATATTCGTATTAAATTTAGAAGTTGAATTATCCTTAGATAAGAAATAAAAAACCTTATTAGAAGTAAATTGTTTTATAATGCAGTAGTCTAAGTCACTAATAAAGACGTTAAGAACAAATCAAGAAATCAAGCTTGGAATAAACATTGAGACATTGACACTACCTACGTGTATATATATATATATATATATATATATATATATAAAAATCTCAAAAAGACTGTTTTAAAAAATATAACTTCAGTCTATGAAAAAATATTTGGGTAGAATTATAATCTGTTTTTCCTCCTGAAAAAAGAACTGCTGGCTATGCATCATTCAGAAAGCTTTTAGAAATGATAATGCAAATTTTTGAAAAATTCTAAACTGAGTTGAACAAAGTCCATATCAGCTTCTCTTTTCTGCCTTAGGATTATTCTTTGGTTCATTTTATTTTGTCACATTCCAATGCCTTCAAACTTCAAACTGCCCAGGATCCTTCTCTGGTATAATAAAGCCGGAAAAAATATTCTGAGGGTAAAAGAGAACTCTGCTTAGTTACTGCAGAGGATGAGATGGTTAGATAGCACTCGACTCAATGGACATGAATTTGAGCAAACTCCAGGAGATAGTGGAGGAAAGATGAGCCTGGCATGCTGCAGTCCATGAACTCACAAAGAGTTGGACACAACTTAGCAACTAAACAACAAGGACTTGTGAATATAAACCCCAGAAATCCACAGCTGAATGTTGAGTATTCAATAAATACTTGAAGCCAAATATTAAAATAATAAAATGGAAATTATACAAACAGCTCTAGTTTTAAATAGTAGAGGGCTTTAGTTAAAGATAAACTGATCTTTATTTCTGAAAAGAGGGTGCAACCAGATTTATTAGGAAAATATCTTCAGAACCTCACAATGACTTCACATTAAAGCTAGTGTTTTCCAAAAGGTCTGTTATATATAGTAGCTCTATGAAATTCTCACCCTCTTAGGATCCTTCACAAAGTAACTTCCACTTGAACCTTGAGAGATTCTTTCTGGATAAACTTCAAATTCTATTGCTTGCTCCGCTTTCAATATAATATCAGCAAATTCTGGATCATCCAAAAATGTGTTCAACTCTGAAGAATCAACAATTATTGCATTAAGAAAAACATTAATACAGAATGCAAAAAGGAAGAAAGACCAGCTATGAGAATGCTCACAACATAGATCTGTAATACTAGATTTAGGTTACTAGTGTTAAGATATTTAGGCACAGAAAAATGTAGACTTCCCTGGTGGCTCAGATAGGAAAGAATCCACCTGCAATGCGGGAGACCCGGGTTCAATCCCTGGAATGGGAAGATTCCCCTGGAGAAGAGAATGGCTACCCACTCCAGTATTCTGGCCAGGACATAGGAGCCTGGAGGGCTACAGTCCATAGGGTCACAAAGAGTTGGACACAACTGAGCGACTAACGCTTTCACTTTTTTTCCATGGAGTGTTTCGATGTCTTTTTTTTTTGTTTTCTAACCCCACTTTAAGTATCAAGTTAAGACACAAGGAAAGCAAGATTTCCTATGCTGAAAAAAATCACACAAATTCCTTGGGTTAACTTGAACTCCTCCCTCCCAGTGATTTTGTTCTTCATCCAGCCTCAGCCTGCATTTGCAGTCATTCCTCAGATATATCATCACCAATACCTGCAACCACATCACACGTAGCATTTCAATCATCTTCTATTTTCTTAGTTCACTGCCTCTGGCATCCTGAGTCCAAAAATTCTTTCATCCCACTACGACCTTTAAAGCACTGATCTACCAAACACTGTTCAAGGGTCTTCACCCACTTTGTGTCCCTCCTTGGCTAGCATAAATTATGGTTAATCATCACTAAAATCACTCTCTTCTTCCCACTCCTCATCATAGTTACCTGTAAAATCTCAATCCTGGTTAAATCCAACTGTCTACTGACTATGCCTGTGCCTGGACAGCTGAACTTGCCAAACACAACGCCTGGTGCCTTCCCTTAAATGCCTGGTGTCTCCCCTTTAAAAAAAAACCCACAAACCTCAGCTGGACTTTTCATGTTGTCTGGGAGTCCTGTTAAAGACTGAATGCTTGTGTTCCTCTGAAATACATCAAGGCCTTAATCCCCAATGTGATCATATATGGAGGGGGACTTGGGGGGAAGTAATTAGGTTTAGATGAGGCCACGAGGGTGGGGATCCCACGATAGAGTTAGGCCATGTGAGGACCCAGGGAGAAGGCTGCCATCTGCAAGCCAAGAAGTGAGCCCTTGCCAAGAACCTGATCATGCCGACACCCTGATTTTGGACTTCCCCACCTCCAGAACTGAGCAATAAAGTCTGTTGTTCAAAAGCCACCGAGGCTAGGGTATTTCATTATAACTTCCTAAACTAGGACAACTTCCCTGGCACACAGACTCTCCCAGTCTTCTGGACAACTACCTCATACCCTCTCCTCTCCTCATATTCCCAACAACTCTTTCATCTCAGTAGATGATCTAGCTTCCTATTTCAAAAAGAAAACAGAAGCAGGCAGGAAAAACGATCACCTACCCTCAGCATCATATTTACCCCTTCATATTCTCTGCCTTCTGCTTATTACTGTACAGAAATGATCCAAAACCGAAGTTGACTCTTCCACTTTGTCTACTAGACCTATCTCTCTGACTGTGTGCTTAGCTGCTCTGTTGTGTCCAACTTTGCGACCCCATGGACTGTAGCCCGCCAGGCTCCTCTGTCCATGGGGATTCTCCAGGCAAGAATACCGAGTGGGTTGCCAATGCCCTCCTTCAGGGGATCTTTCCGACCCAGGGATTGAATCCAGGTCTCCCACATTGCAGGTGGATTCTTTACCATCTGACCCCTACCAGGGAAGCCCTACCCCAGGACATTTCTTAAGCAGTTCTTTCCTGAATCAGTATTTCCCTCGCTATTGGATCATTTCCACAAACACATAAAACTTGACTTGACTTCACTTGACTGCCAAGATGCCATTTCTCCAGGTTGTCCTTCCATTTCATCGGCTACTCTTTTTCACTCTCTTGCGGGCTTATTTTCATCTCCCTAGCAGCTTAACTTTGGAAAGCCCAGGTTCAGTTCATGGTCCTCTTCTTCCTCATTAGCACTGATGACTTCCAGATTAATAAATCAAGCCTGGACTTCTGCCCTGAACCCCAGACTACTATACCCAGCTTCTCCACTTGTATGTTTAGCAGACAGCTCAAACTTTACTGCCTCAAACTCAATTCATTTTCTCTCGACTGCCTCACTCCCAGTATTCCCTGTATTACTGGCAATTCCAAATCTTCTAGGTGCTCTTGTGAAAAGCCTTGGAATCATCCATGACCTCACTTTCTCACCCTCCACATCCAATCCATCAGCAGGTTGTACAGCTACACCTTAAATGAACATCCAGAATCTAACCACTTCTTACAATCTCTATTCCTTCCATGTGATTCAAATCACTATCAACTCTAGCCTAGATTGTCACAAGAGTCTCTTAATGGATCTCCTCTCTATACTCAACAGGGAAGCTATAGAATCCTTCTAAAACCTAAGTCAGTTAACTGCCTGGCGGTCTAGTGGTGAGGAGCCAGCACTTTCATTCACGGGGCAGCCCAGTGACTCTCCATCTCATTCAAAAGAAAAAAAATCTCAAGTTCTAATATTGGCCCCCAAGACTCTACCCAATCTCCCCTAACCTCCACTTTATTTTTCTGCTTAGCACTTATCACCTAACCTGTCATATAATTTAGCTATTTTGTGAGCTCCAAGAAGACAAGTATTTCTTTCACTGCTACATACCCAACTTTTTACAGTTACTGGAACATAAGAGGCACTCAATAAATACTTGAAGAATTAATAATTAATCATTTAAAATGGTAGACAAGTTAAATATTCACATTTTTCTTTGAAAGGCATATAAATGTTACCACATGTAAATCTTATGAAAATTCAAACTATAAACTTTCCTTAATTTAAAACTTGCCTTAATTCAGACATAGAACTATTATTTACTAATTTTTAAAAGCTTATGCTGAGAAAAATATTGCAAAGAGGGCCCTTGGGCATATTTAACCTACTTAAAACAATAAATAATCCAAGTATTTAGTCATGTTCATAAAATTGAAATACTATTTTCAGATCTAGTCCATGAAAATTCTTAAGAATGAAGGGAGAAACTTTGTCTTTCTCATTCACTGTGTATCCTAGCACCTGGAGAGGGATCAGCATTTAGTGGGTTATTAATAAACATTTAAATGAATAAAGTATTATTTATATAGCAGAATGTGCTAATAATTACTACATTAATCAAATGATACTTCTTCTAGGTCAAGGCTTGTAACAAGAAAGAAGTCAGAAAGTTATTTATCTCAACTTTGCTGGTATATTTTCTATAATACATCTCCAGCAGGTGGTCTCTGGGCCAATGTTTAAACACTTTCAAAGAGAGATACTTATTTTTTTTTTTTTTACTTTTTGTGTTTTTTTGAAAATAAATATAAAACTTTTCTTTTTCAGAAAAAGGTCTCCTTGAAGCTTCACCCAATGTACTAGACTTGCCATCTGGAGCAAAACAAAAGTCTACTTACTCCTCTCTTCCCAGGGAGAGGCCTTCACATAGTTGCAGACCATTTCATGCTCCCCTAAGATTCCTCTATTCTCTGCCTCCTTCCACATGGAAGTGTTCTCAGGTTTTTCAGCATCCGAGCTGCCCTCCGGCTTCATGCTTCAGTTTTCCAATGTGCCTTTTAAAAATATGGTCTCCAGAATCGAGCAACTCATTGCGGAGAACAAAGACAGCTCTCAGTCTTGACACTATACCAAAATAAGAAGTACTCTAGTATTACAATCGTTGTTTAGGAGTCCTGTCATACTAATTCACGTTGAACTAGCTAAACTCTTGGGCCACTCTTGGTCTCTCCCATCCTGTACCAAAGCAGTTCTTTTGGAAACTATGTGCAGACTTTGACATTACTATCACATGTTTTCAGGTTGCTTTATGGGTTAAGCTTTATGAGTTCATCATAGAACCTGCCTTTGTTACTCTCATGGAGCCCACAGTCATACTCAGGACACTTAATAATCCAGCTTCAACCCAAACCACAACCATTCCTATACAATCAGCCAGCATGTTTTCAATCCCTTTCTCTTTAGCTTGTTCCTTTGCTGAGCAATTATTTTGGATAAACGAGACTATCTCCCTACATGAAAACTGGCATTCTTTGAGGATGGTCTGGATTTACCATCACTGTCCAGAAAGGCACTTGGAAGACAACTGGTCCTGTCTAATTACTACCAGAAAAGAAAAAAAAGCAACACGATTACATATCAACTCTTCTAAAAACCAAAACAATTGTTTTTAAGTAGATTTTTCTGATCCATAACTCAAAATTACATCCTACAACTTTTATTTTAGTTACTTAAATGCATATTTAGCCATGAGTTTAACTTGGAGTATACATTCTAAGTTATACCACTTCAAGATATATGTGCGATAGAGATTTGGTTTGAAGGTTTGCTGTCATTGTTTGGTTTGATTGTTAATACCTGAGGGGCTTAAATAGCTATATTTTCTTTAAATTTTGTTCAGTTAATATTATGTTTACTCCTTCTAAGGAATAAACTGTGAAACTTTGATTTGTCTCTGTATTAGAAAATATTCAGATTTTCTGAGGAGACTGTCAGTTCTACCACTGTATACTCCCTTTGGGACTCAACCTAAGGAGCGGTGGCCTGCCTTCCAGTCAAGCTCCAGTCCTATTCAAAATCCTCACTTTTCACAAGGTGTCCAGCCCACCCTCGGAACTTTCGCCCATGCTGTTCTGATGTACATGCCAAGTTTCTTTCCTATGGCTAATTTTTATCCATCCTTCAGCTCCATCTGACCACTTGTAATGCTGTAACAAAATGATCTTGGTCCCAGGAGGGCAGAAATCTTTGTTCTGTCCTGTGATATACGCCAAGTGCTTAAACCTGTGCCTGACACATGGCAGACCTTCAATACCGTGAGAAGTATTTATCAACAAACCGTTAACCACACTTAAGGGCTACAGCTGATCCTCTGGTAAGTAGAAATGAAAATGGATTAAGAGAACCCATTGTATAACCTGTTAACAACTACTTTTATATAAGTATGCATAGCAACTTATCAAGTTCTCATTTTAAATAAGTGAATCAAGATGAACTCTTCCTCACCGAAGGGCTGGGAATATATCTTACCCACTGGCCAGAATATCTTCTAAAATGCAAAGTAGCCGGTTCACAAGTTTGATGATCCGAACTAAACTGGAACCCTCAGGGGTGCCAGTGCTATTCAAGTCTCAAACTGGTTGCTATTTCCTCTGCGAAGTCTTCCCTGGCCGGTATATCCAGGGCAGGGCTCCAAGGAACTGTCAGTGTTCCCTATGAAGCACATATATCCTGTTAGGACTGTCTTTTTTTTTTTTTTTTCATTTATTTTTATTAGTTGGAGGCTAATTACTTTACAATATTGTAGTGGGTTTTGTCATACATTGATCTGAATCAGCCATGGAGTTACAATTGACTTTTCCTCCATTAAGTTATAAGATTACATGAGGACCGGGCTGGTGACTGGACCTCCATTTGGTGTCTGGTCACCACTGTTTCCCTAAGGGCTGGATTTCCACTGGCGCCTGAAGGCACGGGAACATTTGCTGACTGAATGATGGATCTCTGCAACAAGTGTATTCTAATTAGTGGTTTGAGGAAAAGTCTCCAACACACTGATGCTCACTACTTTTCAAAAGCTCAGTTTTGGAAGACTGTCAAGACCCATGAGATTATCTATTCTTCTAATACTTTCCTCTAAATTAAGCCAGACTATCAGCATCTTGAATCTAGATCCAGCAATACTGATAACATCACCCACTAGAATTACTTCCACTGAAATGAACTTCAGGGAAGTTGTATGAAACACTCTTATGAAAGTCATCACTTTTATTACCAAGATATTACTCAGCATATAGTCTCTTCTTCAAGAGAATACCTAACAGTTTATCCTTTGCCAGTTTTGTTTTGGTTCAAATAACTAGTCTGTTTTAACTTTATGGGCATAGTGATTGTGTTTCTCTCAAGCTGCCAGGTCAGTAATCTTAAAAATCAAATTTATGCACTGCCTGCATCAAGTGCGTGATGTTAATTTTGTGTAGTCTTGTTCTGGCCTCCATCTTATTTATTTCATTACTCTTACTTCCCATTCTCATAATTCTTCCTTACTTTTAAATGACTTCATTTTGTTCATACATTTATAACCCACCATGAATCATTAAATAACTTATAAACACACACTTTCTTTTCCTTTGGTAGCTTGTAAATTCTAACACCATTCTCTAATCACTAGGCTCTCCAACAGAAACTGATAAGTGCTTCTGGTTTATATTAACTGGAACCTTCAATTCACCTCTGTGTTTCTTTAAAATGAGAATTTTTTAAAGTGCTCATATTATAGGGTTGGTTATAAATTAATATATGTGAAACACATGCACTCTGCCCTGCACGTACTGTTTTGTGGGTATTAACTATTATTATCTTTACTACTCTCCAACTCATTGATTAAAATGACAACTAGCAAAAGGAATACCACTAATTCTTCTACTTTGACACTGATCCAACAACCCGATGTTTACGCTGGTTCTAGACTTTGCCACACGCCTTGTTCAAATAAAGATAACAGAGCTAGGCCATTCTTCCACTGGTTAAGGTACATAAAGCTCCCATTTACATACACAAAATAGTTAAGTTTGATAAATGATGCTAATATCAATCTAAAGAATATCTTGGAACTAGAGAGGTGGCTTCATGGAAATTGGATGGCAAAGGACAAAGGAAGTTAATGAATTAAAAAAATAATGACTTAATTACCTAGTTAAATTAATCAAACTTTTTAGGAGAATGGTTTGAAATTTTAAAAATTTGGTAGTTCAAAACTATTTTTAAATTCCATTAAAAATAAGACCTTGGTAAATAAAGGTAACAATTATTTTATAACAGTTGGGGATCTATAGCAAAATGCAGGATATGAAAGAATTAGGTTCAGTCTGGCTTTTCCATTTTCTGGACCTTGACTTTGGCTTATAGCTGAAGTTCTATCAACTACTAGTCATCGAAGTTTTCATTGATTTCCCATCCTCACACCCAGGATGACTTAGCCCAGCTAACTTGCTGTGCTATTGTAAGAATTAATGAAACATTAAAAAAAAAATGACAGTTGCTCAGTCATGTCCAACTCTTTGCAACCCCATGGACTGTAGTCCACCAGGTTCCTCTGTCCATGGAATTCTCCAGGCAAGAATACTGGAATGGGTAGCCATTCCCTTTTCCAGGGGATCTTCCTGACCCAGGGATTGAAACCAGGTCTCCTGCATTGCAGGCAGATTCTTTTGTGGCTCCCATCTGAGCCACCAGGGAAGCCTTGAAGATCTCAGAAAACCGTCAATGAGATATAAATGTTATTGCCATTTAAAAAGGTTAAAATTCTCTTCAATAATCCATTTGTATTCCAATATTACACTCTATCCTCACTTTTACTTTTTCTAGCTTTAATATCACTTGTTTGCAAAACCTTACCTTCACAGAATAAATGCATTTTCAAGGTTTTAGGATCTTTTAAAATTTAGCTACACAGGTAGCTTTGGGTAGAAAAAGGCAAATTTGCCACACAAATCTCAGTGACCTCACAGACAGGTTTCTAGGTAATATATACCATTATAATCAATGTAGTTGGGTGAATGTGGATCCATTTGTGATCTGGTTCCAAATCCATGTTTGTTTGTTCTGTTAAATGTTGTACTGTCAATGCATCCAAAAGTTAACATTATAATGGCAGCTGCTGCTGCTGCTAAATCACTTCAGTTGGTCCGACGCTGTGCGACCCCATAGACGGCAGCCCACCAGGCTCCGCCGTTCCTGGGATTCTCCAGGCAAGAACACTGAAGTGGGTTGTTGCCATTTCCTTCTCCAAGGCATGAAAGTGAAAAGCGAAAGTGAAGTCGCTCAGTCATGTCCGACTCTTCCCAACCCCATGGACTGCAACCTACCAGGCTCCATCCATGGGATCTTCCAGGCAAGAGTAATAATGGTAGCTAGCTGACCTGTAAGTCAGACCAGTTTGTTAAAGCTTTCTTCATTAGAGTCTGCTTCCCTTGGGTCTCTTTGATTCATTTACTCTACCATTTGACCATAACTACAATTAGAGTAACCTACTCTATCAAGTGCAGAAGCCCCATTAGTGTATCAGTAGCAGAATATGTAAAACCTAACTACTCCACAAAAATTTCAGCAGCATAATGCAAACTACATTTTCTGTGCCTTTTCTTTAAGCTGTCATGTGCAGAGCGATATTTCAGGCAAAATGCAAACATTACCTCATTTAAACCATCTTTACCACCAGCGAGCAAGTGTTATCAGGACCATTTTACAAAACAAGCCTGTCCCAGCGCTACCTAGGACCCTTACAAGTCTATTCTGTTTTTCAAATTAGCCTAATTCAACCCATCTATGCCAAAAAATTACATTTACCAAAAATACCCATGTCTGCAGCTTTGTGCCTAAATTTTTACTACCTTTGAACATTTCAATAATCCTTTCATCTGAGGCTGTCAGTCTGCTTAATAGTGAAAAAGGTTTTTCCTTTTTCTGTATAAAAATAAAAAAGTCTCGAGAAAGAAAACTTTGCAAGAGAGAAAGCAGGTACAGAAGTTCAACTGCTTCTGCCCCCTCTGGCTAATGTCACAATAACAATAAAGTTTTTGAAACGTGTCCCAGTGGCAACCGGATATTCTTTCTATCTCTTGACTGTCATCCACCTTGCAAATTCACGAACTTTCTTGGTAGTTCAGGGTTCTTAAGCCAAAACTTTAAAGCCAATCTTGAGCAAACAACTTAGGTCATTTTACAGTGTTAAGATTTCCTGTCTGATTCCAAAAGTTTAGGATCACTCTTAGGGGCGGCCCCAAGGATCGGAGTTTAATGACAACCTCGGGCGTCAGGAGAAGCAGCCTATAGAGCCTCTGGAGAAGGTGCGAGTAGACGGGGGAGTGGGGATGGGGGAGAAAAAGGCGAGGTGACCAAGGTGTGAGAGACAGCTGAACCCTCGGCCAGTGTTCCGGACGAGATGCCTGGCGAACAGTTTTTCCTACTAGACAAGGGCTAGCGGGCGACAGAGAAAGAAGCCGGGGGCAGCGACCCGAGGAGGGGCTTGAATGCTGAGCGCGGCAGAGAGGGGCACTCTGGCAGGGCGCGGGAGTAGGGAAGAGCCGGGTCGCACCTGAACCCACGGGGCGGTTCCGGTCCAGATTGGTGGGCGAGCTCCGCTGGCGCCCCAAGCCCGGGGAGGAGGAGAAAGACGCGTCCAGGGGCAGAAGCAGCAGTTCCCGGTCGCTGGCCTGGCTAGGGGAGGCCGCACCTTCCTCCCCGGCAGCCGTCTCCAGCCTCACGGCGCCCCCCGGAGCGACCTTCCGTCGCTGGGCCCAGGCGATCCGCGGCAGCAGCGGCTCCCGCTCCTCATCCTCCTCGTCCTCCTCCAGGCTCCCGCTGCCGGGGGACTCTGGCCTCCCGGGCTCCGAGGCCTCCGCCATGGCCTCCCCCTGTGCCTTCCGCGCTGAGACCGACTCAGAGAGGCGAGGCGTTCGGGTCTGGCCTCGGCATCGCGGGCAACCGGAGCCTCTGGGTCAGACCGAAGAAACCTTGCTAGTGCACTGTCCAGCTCGGCGCCCGCCAGGCGGTTGCCCCGCCCGCCGGCCGAGCCCCACCTCGCTCCTAGCCCGCGCCTGCGCGGAAGTGCGGGGGCGTTGTGCGGGGCCCGGCCGCCACCTGTCTCCCTAAGCTGGGGAAGGCGCCCGGCGGGGCTAAAGTTACTGCTTGTGGAGCGCGGGGGTGGAAGTTAATCTACCTTTGCAGAGGTGCCTCTCTCTAACCCAAATCGGCCTCTCCCGCCCCTGCAGAATTCTCTCATGTTTCCCACAATGTATACCTGTGTATTTCTTTGTATGACTAACATATGTTTCCCCCACTAGAAGTCCCGGAGAGCCAGGGCCTCGTCATTTTTTCCAAACATTCCTGATATTGTAGTTTACATTTTCTCTTTTTAAATACCGGTTAATCTAGCTAGAAGTTTATATAAATTTTTAGTTTTTTCAAAAAGCCATCTATGGGTCGATTGATGATCTGTTCTCTAGTTCATTGACTTTTTAATAATTTTCTTCCTTTTTCTTTTTTTAAATATATGTACCTTGTTTGAGTTTTGCTCGGTTTCTTAATTTGTAAGTTTACCAAATTTGTAAGTCTACCAAATTTGGGGAAATCTCGGCCATTATTTTTTCCAAAAATTTTCTACTCCACTGTCTTCCTTTTCTATTCCTATTAAAGGTACCTATTAAAGATGATTCCTATTAAAGGTACTTTAAGCTCTTTAATATCATCTTAAAGATTAGTATAGCTCTGTCCACTTTTTTCAATAGTTTTTATCTCTGTATTTCAGCTGGAATAATTTCTCTTAATCTGTTTTTAAGTTTGCCAACCCTTCAGCCATTTCTAATTAGCTGCTGGACCCACCCAGTGAATTTTTCATTTCAAAATTTTTACTTTTCAGTTCTAGAATTTCCATTCCCTCTTCTCCTTTTAGAATTTCTTTATGTCTGCTGAGTTTTTCTGCTAACTCATTATTATGACCATATACTTTTTCATGTCCTTGTATGTATGGTGTATCAGTTAGTTCAGTTCAGTCGTCTCCGACTCTTTGCAATCCCACGGACTGCAGCACACCAGACTTCCCTGTCTATCACCAACTCCTGGAGCTTGTTCAAACTCATGTCCACTGAGTCGGTGATGCCATCCAACCATCTTTCCCTCTGTTGTCCCCTTCTCCTCCTGCCTAATGTATAATAACTGTTTAAAATTTTTTGCTAGCCACTATGGAGAACAATATAGAGATTCCTTAAGAAACTAAGCATAGAGTTGCAGTATGATGTAGCAATCCCATTCCTGGGCATGTATCCACAGAAAACTCTAATTCAAAAAGATACATGCACCCCAATGTTCATAGCAGCACTATTTATAATAGCCAAAACATGAAAGCAACCTAAACCTCCACTGACAGATGAAATGGTTAAAGAAGATATATATATATACACACACATAGATACACACACACACACATATAGAATGGAGTATTAATCAGCCATAAAAAAGAATGAAATAATGCCATTTACAGCAACACAGATGGACCAAGAATTTATCATTCTAGGTGGAATAAGTCAGACAGAGAAAGACAAATATCATATGATATCATTTATATGTGGAATCAAAAAAAGATACAAAAATTATTTATTAAATAGAAATAGACTAACAGAAATAGAAAACAAGCTTATTGTTGCCAAAGGGAAAATGTGAGGGAGGGATAAATTGGGAGTTTGAGATTGATATATACAACTACTAAATAGAAAATAAGCAATAAGGACTTATTGTATAACACAGGGAGTTACATTCAATATCTTATAAGAATCTATAAAGGAAAAGAATCTAAAAAGGATATATATATATATATATATATATATATATATAAAATCACTTTGCTGTGAACCTAAATAACACAACTTTGTAAATCAACTATAATTTTTAAAAAGTCTTTGCTAATTCTTACATCTGAGTCATCCTGGAGTCAGTTTCTATTGACTACCTTCTCTCTAAATTATGACTCAAACTTTCCTGTTCCTTATATTTGCTAATTTTTCTATTGTGTACTAGGTATTATAGATGTATATATATGCATATTGTAGAGCCTCTAGATGCTGCTGTCCTTCCTCTAGTAGGTAGTTAATTTTTACCCTGTGCACATAGAGTTTAGGAGTCAACCAAGGATTTTGGCAGAGTGTATGTGTCAGCTTTGGAGTTCTTTTCCTCTACTACTCTTTCCTTTTCAGGAATTTCATCTTCAATTTCCAGCTGCTCTGGAAGCCCCAGGCTCCATTCTGTAATTCCTTAAGCCATTAATATTGTAGTTTTCTGAGTTACAGATGCTTTTCACAGTGCAGACTGAGCAATGCCCTCAGATAAAAAGATGTGTGAGCATAAAATCACACTCATTATATTTCAATTCTTTGAACAGTGGCCATCCCTTAAAATTCCACCTGCCTGCTTTGGGTTACTTTTCAGCATCTTCAAATAATTGCTTTTATATTTTATCCAAAGTTTATGACTTTATCTGTAAAAGGCTTAGTCTGATATAACTTCCTATGAGATATTTTTACAGAACTGTATCTTTTAGTGAGGTGAATGGCGCTGGTGCTATTTTTTTTGTCCGTAGTTCACGTTAGTGGGCTTTCCTGGTGGCTCAGATGGTAAATAATCTGCCTACAATTCAGGAGACCCAGGTTTGATCCCTGGGTTGCAAAGATCCTCTGGAGGAGGAAATGGCAACCCACTCCAGTATTCTTGCCACCGAGATAATCCCATGGACAAAGGAGCCTGGCAGGCTATAGGCCATAGGGTCACAAAGAGTCGGACACAACTGAAGTGACTGAACTCACATGCACATGTTAGTAGAGGAATACTACTTACTGCTAGATAAGACAGGATTCAGCATCAATTCTATTCATAGATATGAACACTGAGAAAATATGTTCAAATAAATAGATGATTATGGTGAATGCTTTGAAATAGCAATGTCACTCAAATTTTTGATCTTTTAAGATATATGCCAAAAGTCAAATAGCACTCTATCATCAAAAATTATTTTTTATTATCTATCATCAAGCAATTCATTTAGGTCCTCTTTTGTTTAAGCTGTTCACTTTCTTTCACACAAAGAGTCGGACATGACTGAGCGACTGAACTGAACTGAATTCACTCTTTTGGCTATTTAATTTCTGGCAAGTATACCAAAAAGGCTTTTAAAAGACTTATCAGTTATTAATAATTGTTCTGTAACTCTTTCAAGACACTATTTTTTTAACTGAGTTGAGAAAATAAAAATATTAACGTATCTATAGAATTTTGGCAATATAGTACTATTTGTTAAAATACTTTTATCTTATCATGAGTTTTAAGTATATTTTTGCCAAAATTTTAGGACTACAGATTTGGTTCATTCAATGTATGCAAAAAAAGGTCTAATTTAAAAGTTAATTGGTAAAGCCAATATCCACTATCAAATCAGTCAGCCAAAGCAAGTATTTTTTTTCAATCCATTATAGCTCAGTTGGTAAAGAATCTGCCTGCAATGCAGGAGACCCTGGTTTGATTCCTGGTTCGGGAAGATCCACTGGAGAAAGGATAGGCTACCCACTCTGGTATTCTTGGGCTTCCTTTGTGGCTCAGCTGGTAAAGAATCTGCCTGCAATGCGGGGGACCTGGGTTTGATCCCTGGGTTGGGAAGATCCCCTGGAGAAGGGAAAGGCTACCCACTTCAGTATTCTGGTCTGGAGAATTCCATGGACTGTATAGTCCTTGGGGTCACAAATAGTCGGACACGACTGAGTGACTTTCACAACAACAACAAATACAGTAAACCCTGTAGGAGGGCGTGGCAACCTACTCCAGTATTCTTGCTGGAGAATCCCATGAACACAGGAGCCTGGCGGGCTACAGTCCACAGGGTTGCAAAGAGTCAAACATGACTGAAGCAACTTAGCACGAGCACACAAACATGGTAAAATATATCCCTGTGTCAGCATCTCAGTTTTAAAATTCTAAGGCTCTGCTGCCTCTAGTATTTCTCACAGATATTTCTTTAACTTTGTTCCCACGGAACATTTCTTTAGGAGTCCATTCTTCAATAGTAGTCAGGGTTTAGAAGATGCAAGATCTTTATTTTTTTCTAATTTGAATCGGAGGCTAATTAATTTACAATATTGTGGTGGTTTTTGCCATGCATTCACATGAATCAGCCATGGGTGTACATGTGTTCCCCATCCTGAACCCCCTCCCACCTCCCTCCCCATCCCATCCCTCTGGGTCATCCCAGTGCACCAGCCCTGAGCACCCTGTCTCATGCATTGAATCTGGACTGGCGACCTATTTCACATATGATAATATACATGTTTCAATGCTATTCCCTCAAATCATCCCACCCTCGCCTTCTCCCAGAGTCCAAAAGTCTGTTCTTTATGTCTGTGTCTCTTTTGCTGTCTCGAATAGGGTCATTGTTACCATCTTTCTAAATTCCATATATATGTGTTAATATACTGTATTGGTGTTTTGAAGATGCAAGGTCTTTAAATGAAACTTGGCATCACTCTTGCAATCTAACTGTACAATACCTATATATTCAGAACATCCTAACACAGGACTAAATGCACCATGTCCAATGTCACCATCACCTTTAATGCTCCTTTAATAAGAAAAGACATGAAGCATTGTTGCTACTTCATGGGGCATTCATTAATCAAGGCTTTACCAACATCTGTATTTCAAAATCCAATCTTCGTTGTGAGTCTCAGGTTTTTTACACCCCAGCACGAGGAAGCACTGGAAGATTCAGGATAGGTATTCCAGCACCAACTGGAATTCAATTCTGCTACTAACCACACAGAGTTAGCACAGACTTTACAAGTTAAAGGGTCAGTCCTCCATGAGACCATCCTTACTTCAGATGTCAGCTACCCTTCATGGGTCTTCAGGCCACCTCCATTTATAACCAACTGGCTCTATATTTGGGGGCCCATGACCTCCTTAAGTTCTGTAACTTGCTAGAACAACTCACAGA